TCTATCTATCTATCTATCTATCTATCTATCTATCTATCTATCTATCTATCTATTCAAACTGAAGTGTATAGGCTAACGCACAATTATTACCATCATTTATAAATAGATAATGGATTAAATAGTACTCAACCTCTTTATTTATTTATATCTATTTTATTATATTTATATTGTATGTATGTTTGGGAATAAAAATCATACTGCAAGGAATTGAAGAGCGATTTTTTTTTCAAGACACTTCTGGCTCTGTTTAGGTTTCGCCAAAATAGAGCAAAGCATTATCAACGCCTCAAATCACAATTTTACTTTCTCGGTCAATTTAATACATAGAAAAAAAGGAGCTTGAATGGCAAACAACAGTAATCGATAACTTAATAATAGTTCCCTACAATCACTTTTCAAGGTTTTCTTTTTTGTTGTTGTTGTCTTTTTAAAAACAATCACTATTAAAGTTGCTCAGTGTCCAGAAGTGCCAGGTAGACAACGATATCACGAGGGTACTTTTCTCTGCGCTGGGGGGACGAACCAATCACATTCGTTTGTGATTACTGGAAGGTCTATATTTAATAAAAGTCATTTTACAAGACGCGATCGCGCTGACATTCATTTGTGTACCAGATTCAAATTCTCATGAAGTAACAGGTTTAAATGATTATGTTTTTTTAATACTACAAAATATATCCAATAGAATCAAATCAACCTGAGATTTGAATACGGACAATGGGCTCTCTGAGCCTCCAAGCTCCCCCAAATAAAAGACCTCAAGTTTCAGTCTCCCAGGCAATCCAAACACTCATTTTCTAGAACTGGTTTCCATTTCGGATCGTGATCCGGTTGCGCCTCTAGTGAAAGGAGGCGTGGCTATCAGTTTCTCCAGTGAAGGGAGGAGCTGCCACCGTACAAAAATGCAGCATTTCACAAGCCCTCGTGCAATAATCGGGTAAACCACAATTTTTGTTAAAACACTAATCTCGAACATGGTCCCCTGTTAGCGTGGTCCATGCATTATCGGATCTTCTCGGCCTTAAGTGGGCGAGCAAACGCGAGGAGCACCAGTGTCGCCAAATATGTGAGTTTCGACATGGTCAGGTAGCGCAGGTTTCTATGCACAGCTGGCTTACTAAATTCAGTGTTATTCAGTCAAAATCGCTGTTATGCCATACACTTTCTATTTCATGAGATTTAATAATATGATAAACAGTGCACTTGAATGTTTTATGTGTTATTGATAGTATCTTGGCACAGTCAAGACGTAATTTACGCCACTGTGTTATTATGTCCCGTTTTTGATGCTTTGACTTTATAAACCAGATTTTGGGCTGTTTGGTCAAGTTGATTTTCTTTACATATTTTGAAACTCATAATGCTACTGTTAAATAATGTCAGGCACTCTTGAATAATGCATATGACTGGCTCATTATGGACCCAAGTAGATAGGAATGTCATCAGTTGGCATACAAGTTGGATGTATTGATTTGTGGACCATAAAGGGGGGAGAAAAACACTGGAATTACAGTGTGTCCTCTAGTGACATTGTTGGTTCTTAAGTGACTGTGTCTGTATCTGTAAGACCGCAGCTTCCATACTGCTGTGTCCACTAAATATGACCTTCTGTGTCTCCTAAACCAGTCGTTCCTCCACGGTTTACACTTTTACACTAATTTATTTCCATGATTTTTCTAGTCATTTTTTATTACAGGGTTTTTAATTATAAAATGAATAATTTAAAATTATTGGTACTCACAAATACATTTAGAGCTTGACATAGCTAGAAAAGTATATATTATAAAAATGCTCATAACCTTTTAGTATTTTATTAATTTCCATTACTCTTCCATGTCTAGAAGTCACATTTTGTAAATTCCCTTGTATATCCAGGTTTTCCAAGACTGTGGGAAGCCTGATTCTTAAATAAAAATGACAGTTGTTTTCTAAGAAACAAATGTATACTTCCCCCTCACATTTTTGTAAATATTTTATTATATCTTTTCATGTGACAAGACTGAAGAAATGACACTTTGCTACAATGTAAAGTAGTGAGTGTACAGCTTGTATAACGGTGTAAATTTGCTGTCCCCTCAAAATAACTCAACACACAGCCATTGATGTCTAAACCGCTGGCCACAAAAGTGAGTACACCCCGAAGTGAAAATGCCCAAAGTGTCAATATTTTGTGTGGCCACCACCGTTATACAAGCTGTACACTCACTACTTTACATTGTAGCAAAGTGTCATTTCTTCAGTCTTGTCACATGAAAAGATATAATAAAATATTTACAAAAATGTGAGGGGTGTACTCACTTCTGTGAGATACTGTAAATGTAATATAATGTCAGTTTTATTAGTACAAAAAGTGGACAGGTAAGGGGGAAGTGGTATATAAGCAAATGTTGTGAGCTGGATTCAAACACACATTGTTCAGATGAGCGCCACAGCTCGAGTTTTTGGAGGACATTCTTATCTCCCTACCACAGCTCCAGTGATACTTTTATATGAAATTGTATTCAGCCTTGCATTAGTTTTTCAACCTGTGATTGCTGCTGGCGTGCTTTTGGGAGGTTATTTAGAAGAGAAAAGCCTATGTTGGAATGAATTTCATCATCATTACCATTTAAAAGTTTGGGAACAGTAAGATTTTTCGAAAGAAGTAAATAGTTTTAGTCACTCTCAAGTTGTTTCAAACCTGTATGAGTTTCTTTCTTCTGTCGAACACAAAGGAAGATATTTTGAATAATGTTGGTAACCAAACAGTTGACGGTAGCAATTGACTTCCATAGTATTTTTTCCCATACTATAGAAGTCAATGGGTAGCGTCAACTGTTTGATTGTATTTTTGATCAAATAAATGCAGTCTTGCTGAGTACGAGATTTTTCATAAAAAAAAAAAATACCTGTGATTGCTGCTGGCGTGCTTTTGGGAGGTTATTTAGAAGAGAAAAGCCTATGTTGGAATGAATTTCATCATCATTACCATTTAAAAGTTTGGGAACAGTAAGATTTTTCGAAAGAAGTAAATAGTTTTAGTCACTCTCAAGTTGTTTCAAACCTGTATGAGTTTCTTTCTTCTGTCGAACACAAAGGAAGATATTTTGAATAATGTTGGTAACCAAACAGTTGACGGTAGCAATTGACTTCCATAGTATTTTTTCCCATACTATAGAAGTCAATGGGTAGCGTCAACTGTTTGATTGTATTTTTGATCAAATAAATGCAGTCTTGCGGAGTACGAGATTTTTCATAAAAAAAAAAAATATTACTGAACCCCAACTTTTGAACCGTAGCATGTAAATAGCAATAAAAAAAACAGTGTTACTGGTATATTGCTAACCAAGCTTGGCTAAACAATCGAACCTCTTAATGTGCTGATGTGTTTCGACACTTTCCAAGCCTGTTGTGTTTCAGTTTGCACATGCACATACAGATGTGTTGCTGCTAGATATTCATACCCACAAACTCTCTTAACCCTTTTACTTTTCTTCTGGTTACAAGTAATTATACGCAGACAGAATGAGTCTGGGATTTTATAGTTGTGTTAATATATTGTATAGCTGTATGTGTGTTAAGGCTGATTGTGTTCCCTCTCCTCTCCTGACCCCAGAGTGCAGTACCTTCTCCCCTCCAGCCACTGTCATCCTCCTCATCCTCCTGTGCTTTGAGGGCCTCCTCTTCCTCATCTTCACCTCTGTGATGTTTGGCACCCAGGTCCATTCCATCTGCACAGATGAGACGGTAAGAGATTGCTTCCTTTCAGCAGTGGGCGAGGTAGTGCTTGTGGTCTGATAGGCATTGTTATTTTTAGGTTAATGCGTGTGGACACTTTTACCAAAAATGCTATCGTACTTGAAGTGAAATGTTACACATATGCAACAAGTATAAGATCATTGTGTATTGAATAATAGTACACTAGCGTACATCCACACTGCTTATTTGGCACATTATTATTAGAATCTCCTGTATACACATGATATTGACACTTGATTCTAAATGATCCAGTGCTTTGGACAACAGACTTGCATAACACATAGTCTGTTTTCTTCTAACAACTGACCTGAAAAACACAATCCACACATATTCCTTGCCTATAAATGCAGCTAGATCATTTAAAACTTCTGAGGCGGATGCTATTTGATTCTCTTTGTTGGACTTCAGTAGTGTTTGTGTCTGTACTGTGTCCACTAGATGCCTTTTGATAATTGCAGGTGTATATCTGCTTGGAATAGCATACTACTTGTACTACTTCTGCAGTATGTACACTATTGTTCAAAAGTCTGGTGTTAGTAAGAAACTGATACTTTTTAAAATTGAAATTGATCAAAGGTTACAGTAAAAACATTTATAATGTTCCAAAGGCTTTCTATTTCAAATAAATGCTGTTCTGTTGAACTTGCTATTCATCAAAGAATCCTGAAAAAAATGTATCACAGTTTTCACAGAAGTATTAAGCAGCACAGCTGTTTTTCAACTTTGATAATAACAAGAAATTTTCTTGAGCACCAAATCAGCATATTAGAATTATTTCTGAAGGACCATGTGACACAGAAGACTGGAGTAATGATTCTGAAAATTCAGCTTTGCATCCCAGGAATAAATTACATTTTAATATATATAGAAACAGAAAACTGTTGTTTTAAGTTGTAATAATATTTCACAAAATTACTGTTTTATTTTATTTTTGATCAAATAAATGCAACCTTGGTGAGTCTTTCAAAAAACGTACATCTTACTGACCCCAGACATTTGATGGTAGTGCATAATGGGTTCAGTATGACAATTCAATGAGTTCATTTTGAAAAAAGTAATAAGTAAGGTACTTTTATTTTATTTTAAAAGTATATGTAAAAAAAAAAATGGGTAAAAATATAATGAAAATAAGACATTGAATACTGGATGCAACCCATCATCCTAAAATGCAGTGCGCTCAATTTGACCTGTTTTCCTAGTGTGATAAATAAACCTGAAATAAACCTTTCTTTCTTGAATCTTTATTTGTTTGGAATATTGAGAGTCAAGGCATTTTTACATAATATTGGACAAACGGTTTAAAATCTCATTGTAGCATATTACTGTTTGGAATACATACCGTTATATAATACATTATGCTTCACAATCTTTTTATAAAAATAAGTGGGCAGTATTCAGTGTATACTGCACTGAATGGACTAATGACTGGCATGACTGTTCACTATGAAAATCACACTATATCAACTTATCGAAGATAAAAAATATGGTTAAAGTTCTGTGTTTATGGAATGGGCCAGTTGTTCTTTTCCTCTTTTGTTTTGTAATATTCACACACTCTGAAGTCTCGGTTATCTCTTGTTTTTAGGGCATAGAGCAGTTGAAAAAGGAAGAGAGAAGATGGGCTAAAAAAACAAAATGGATGAACATGAAGGCGGTATTCGGACACCCCTTCTCGATAGCATGGTTTAGCCCGTTTTCCACACCCGACCACGGGAAAGCTGACCCCTACCAGTATGTGGTCTGAGCTCAGCAAGCTTTAAACTAGAGACTCGAGTGCACTTGGACTGACCTTATAAAACGGCGTCTTTTAATTTGTTTGTAATCCCGACTTGAGCGGAGCATTTGCCAGTGAGACGAAATCACCTTCATCTTTTTTTCAGGGAACAAATCATTGCATATCCAATTATCCTTACCTCTATTTATTTCAATTCAAAACAGAAAGCGGAAGCTTTATCATGCCATAATCTCAAGCATCTCTGCCTAGCTACACCGAAATGAAGATGAATGTTGCGCAGAAAATAGAAGCCAATTTATGCTAATATAATCACTATTGTAATCTTGCCAGTCTGTCCACAATGATAACCTACTTTCTGAAGGTACTTTTAAATGTTCTGCTAATTCTTTATACTTCGCTACAGTATAGTACTCCTGCCCTTTCCTGGTTAACAACATAATAGGACTGACAACCATTCGCTAAAATGGTTTATTATGCAGATAAAAGAAATGTTTGAAAGGTCATTTATACCAAGGACGATAACTAACGATAACTATAAATCACTCTAATTCTATGAAAATAGTGAAGTCCACAGCACAGCTACTTTATAACAATAACGACACCGAGGAACAATATCATTGGAATCACTCTCAGAACTAATTTTTCCAGCTCATGAATTACTGAAAACGGTGACAACCAATCAGAATCCACCGGACTTTAAAGAGATCAAGCATTTATAAGCACTTCTAAAAAACAGAACCGTTGTTGAGGACATACAGTTATCCTTATATTTATCATTCTTGGTGTGAATAGGCCTTAACATTATTGACTTTGGCTGTATAGAAAATAGTATATAAACAATATAGGATGTTTAACAGGGGTATAAATATGTTCTGACAAAGCTTGGATTCAAATGATTCCGTACTAAATGATGCAGTCATAGCATGTAATCATAATTTGGTTTATTTTATATTTAAAAATGGTAATTAACAGAAATGTAGCTAAAGGGACAGTTACTGTAGTTGAATATTGTCAAAGCGATACACTAGTTTTTACATTGACAAGTATTGCACAACAGAATTGATCTATTATTCAATTCCATAACCAGTCAGATCATTTCTACACCCCTCAATCTTAACATTGAAAATAAATCCATTGAAATGATAAAGACTTTATCAAATGTGTTTTGAGATATTATGGGTACATTTGCTGTTATACATACGATTTTGAATGATAACAGTACTTATGTTACTCAGCTTCCCTATCAGATTTACTGTACTTCCTATACTCAGTACACAATCTGTATTTTTTTTTTTAGAGCTGATTCACATGGTATGTTTCCATAAACCTGGTTTGCAGAAATGTTTAAGAAAGGAACAGGCTTAAGAAAGTTGTGTGTTCTCGACCACTTAATTGATTCACCATTGTTGCCATTGTTTTGGTTAATTGTATTTTACATTTTATTAATGTACATTTTTGTTATGATGAACGAATGATATGTGCTTGAACTTTTAAGTGTGTATGAAAAAGACAGTCATTCTGTTCTTCTTTGACAAATGGTACATTAAAAACCTGAACACTCGGTCATTAGTATGTGACAATGTGTTAAAGTGTCTGACAGTGGATTTCCTAAGTGTGCAACCACATTTGAATCCATCTCTGCTTCTGAAAAGTCTAAAATAGGGATGACATGAAAATCAGCATCTGAAATACCATTCGCATTGCAAAATCACTCTGTTGCAATATCTCTCAAGAGATCCAAATGTGTTCAAATTTGCTTGGCCTCTATCTTCCTGTCCACTTCCTGTCTGTCTTTAACACTAACCTAGTTTCCTCCTTTTTTATATGTTGTTTTATGAGTAGTTCCTTTGCTCAGAAATATCCAATCTTTGTTTTTTGTTTTTTTGGGGAATTAAAATTGATGAAAAAGCAACTAATTATATTTAGTATTAAATTAGGCTGATGTCCCTGTTTGATTGGTCTGAGATGGAGGTAAGCTTTGATTGCTACCGGTATAAAGACACATTCGTTCATTTGACACAATGCATGCTATTTAAAATGGTCTATTTTTGTGAAGGCATGCTGCATGCTTCATGTGTTTTTAATTTGTGCCATAAAGTGAAAGTCGAACCATTTCTTCCAGTTTCTATTAAAGATTAAACACCAGCAGCACACGCAGGTGCATGAGTAAAATGAATCGCTTCCTGTGCCTTTTTTACCATAGTAACCATTTGCTTTCCTTTTCAGTTCAATCTGTGGAATTTAAGTTGTCTTTTCCTCTTTCTTTCTTTTTTTTGCCAATATGGATGTTGTTTTCCATTTATTTATGTATTATATTATTTAATCTCTTTCAAGAATCACAGAGGTGTTATTTTTCTTTGTTCAGGGCATTGAAAAGTTGAAGCGAGAAGACCCTACATGGGAGAAGGCTCCAACCTGGGAAGCTATGAAGTCAGCGTTCGGAGGGCCTCTTTCTATGGCTTGGTTGAGCCCTTTCACCGATCTCTCCTGCCAGAAAGATACTTCGGATCCTGTTCCCACATTCCCACAGGGAGAGATCATTGAGGAGGATGTGATTGAGATTCCTTTGGAACCTCATTAGATCGAAATGTGTTTGTTGCTTAAGCTCTGTGAGACTAATGGCACATTTCCTGCCTTGGACTCGCAAAGAGACTACTGTGGACATTTGAATAATAAAAAAAAACACACACACATTTATATACTGTACCAAAGTGCCTTAAAACCGTTTTTAAAACCAAAAATACATCTTGCTCTTCTAAAGAGAAACTTATACTGTGCATAGAGAGACTGAGCTCCTATCAGATTGACATAACGTGTACTTCATAATGCCAGCTGTTTCTTGAGCAGTAATGTCATTTAGTTTGGTGTATCTACATGTTTGACCTGACCTAGAATATTAAAAAATATTAAGTGACTGTAAGTGAATTCTTTCTTATAGGACACTATCAAGATGAATCAGTGTGTGTTTGTGCATATATATATTTTATATATAAAAACTATAACTAATGTCTGAAATGCCTTAATGTATCCTAAATGTCCTGAAATTGAAACACACGATGAAATGGCTGCAAAGCAATAAATATACAAATTCAGGTGCAGGATTTGACAATATAAACATATGGTGCTCATTTGTAGACATGTCGAGCCTTTTCCATAATTAGCAAAAATGCATGTGAGACTTACTGAACCATCCCAGGATTTGATTGATATATCACAATTTTATTGTTCTATGCCATGTCTGTCTTTTTATTGTATTTATGACCTTTTTAAAAATATTCTCTTAACTGTGCATCTTTCCATTACAGGCTTCATTATTGTTATTTGCTAAGTTCTGGATTTCTTTTCTTTCCATTACCTGATGTTTCCCATGGCTGCACAACTTCAATTCAAGCTTCCTCAAATAAATGTGCTTTTTTTTGTGTCCATTGTTGTTTGAATAAAAGTGTATGGTTGCAGGTGGGCTATTATACTCCCACATAATAGCAGGTCAACTTTGAAATGTGATTTCTGAGTAAAATGCATGATAATGTCCTGCTGTGCTCAACAGATGCTGCTTTTGTGGTTGGGTTTCCCTCTAAAATAGAGTCCAGGTCGGTGCTTTCACACACAATAGACATTTAATAACCAAAAACGTTTAACCACTATCAGTGCGTGCATCCCGTTCACTACATTGTTCTGAATGAAGTGCGAGTTCAAGTTTTACTTTGGAAGACGTGGAATTGAAAAAGTTTATCTCGGAGAAAGATAAGAGGTGAAACAAAATTTCTTTTTGAGATCCACAGCTGCGTTTGGTCAAATATCCAGCAAAAATGTGTATCGGAAACATTTCATGTCATAGTAATAAACAAGAATATAAACTTGTTTATTATCAACTTGCATGATATTCCCTTGATGGCTAAAGTATGCGGGAACTCGCATGATTGATGCAAGCTATAGAGCAAGGCCTTTGCGTGACTATAGGCTCAAAGTCACACACATTTCAAGGCTTAGCATTATGGAATCGCTCACATTATTGGCACTGATGCATAAAAATAAATTAACTACAGAGGTTTTATAAAACAATCCTATGACAGAAAAAATATATACATTTAGCATAGATAATTCTATCATACAAGTGCGCATAAATAATTCTTATTAGCTCCTAGTGCTTCTTCATACCATTTCACTTGATTGATTTCACTTCAAGCATTGGGTAAGGCATTGTTGATCCCTGTATTCTTCTGTCACTCATATTTCTTATTTGCATTTTCCTGTGGAGCCTGAGGAGTTGATCCATGCAAGACAAGAAGCCCCGTCAGGGTCAAAATGATACCAACCCACCACAGCGTGGCATGAGTTTCGCCAAAGATGTCCAAGGAAAGCCTGAAAAAGAGACAATAATCAATCATTAAATAACTAGTTTTCTCAAATTAATTTGAGGGGATGGGAGGGGGACTCACAGAGGAGATCAAATTTGAGGCAGTGGTGGTCACAGTGGCCCGGGCAGAGGAAGACGAGTGCCTGAGTGCTTTGGCGAAGAAGGTCCACATCACAGCATTGCAGGTGAACAGAAGACCACCACAAAGCAGCCGCAGGGGTATATGTAACTGTGATCAATGACAACATTACAATGACATTGTGTTCATTTAAACATATATGCATATATAGAACACTTCTTACCCAGTCACAAGTTGTGGTATCAACTCCATCCGTGTTTTCCTGTCCATCTGTCCAGATCTTCAGCCCTGTTTCACACACATCTTTCAGGTAATCAGCACCCAGGGACAACTTAGCAGAAGATGATGCTAAAGCTGCTAGAAACCCCGCCATTAACGAATAAACACGCCAGGCAACATAATTCCAGCTCTGTCCGACTGAGTCACTTGTGATAGCGTTGTAGGTTTAAATAAGAATGTCGTATTTTAAATAATTTCCATGCACTTTCAGTTTAATTGCTTTTTAATCATGAGGTGAAAATTATTATTTGGACCATTGCTGAAGAATTTATAGACTTGATGTGAGAAGTGTTACTTTTCTCAACGCGTTTCATAATGGACCAATCACTGTCATTTGTGATTACAGCATAATATTTATTTTAAAATCATTTTGTCAATTTTTATTTCAATTTGTATAACCATTCAAATATATACATTTAATTGTTATACGTGTTACTGTACAAATGTCTCTAATAAGGAAAAAAGCACTCTTTGATATGAACATGGCTCAATTGAGAATCCGGCTTTCTGAGCCACCAAGCGCCTCTTGAGGAAGTTTTTTTTTTTTTTTAAATGCTTTATTAATTCAACGCCACAAGAACATGAGGTATTACATATTCACATGATCAAATTAACATTATTAGCTGCCAGAGAAAAAGAAAGAAAAAATAATAATTTATTAAAATTTATTAAAAATTTATTAAATTTAAAAAAGGAAGAAAATTACATAAAGTTCAATGCTTTCAGAGCATTACATGTTTTCAGTGCTTTTTTGTTTGTTCTAAGAGATTTACATATAATTTAAAGTCATTTATAAAATGTGCAAAATTTGGTTTACATTGAGCCCACTTCTTCTTATGTATATGGAATTTTCCTAACAAAATAAACAAATGTATAATATGTTGTTCTTTACCATTCAAATTTTCGTTTTCTGTATAAAAAAGTACATCAGATATACAAATTTCTTTCATACACCTTATTTTTCTGTTAATATAGAATTCCAAATCCTTCCAAAATAATCTCGAGTAATTACAATGAAAAAAAAGATGCAAAATAGTTTATTTTTCTTGACCACAAAATTCACAGGTATACGAAATATTAAGCTTTTAAATCGCCTCTTGAGGAAATAAATTGTAATGTGTCGCTGGAAAGTTATCAGCAAGTAAAATTAAGCAAAGAAGAAGTTAAGGTTCAAATTAGAACAGCAATAAAAATGAGATGGCAAGAAGTTTGGAATAAGGAGGAGAGAGGAAGACATCTTTATCATATTCAAAATCAAGTTGGGGTTGAAAGAGTTAATTTTGGTAGTAGAAGAGAAGATGCAATTATTACCAGACTTGGCACTGGCCATACTGCTTTAAATTCTATATCAAATGAACAAGCATGAGCCTGGGAACTGTAGTCTGTGTGGATTACCAGAAACAGTAGAGGGGTCAGTCTATGGAAACGTCCATTTTTCTGTCCCTAGCCTTTACAGAAATATTACACTTGAAAAACAATTTAGTGTTACAATTTTTTATATATTTTAAAATAAAACAGTATGTTATTTGAAAAATTACACCTTCTTGAGCCATCAATGTGGCAATATTTGTTTTTAATTAATTATAAAGGATTCCAAGCACCACAAAACTGCTCGTCCCCACATGCATGTACAGAGGGAAAGTGCTTTATTTTGAGGTCAAAAACAGGATTTTCTACCATTTAAAATACAACAATGTATTCATAACTATCAAATGATGTAAATGACATAAAAAAAACAAAATGGCAAATAAATATTATGAAATATATAATGAAAGTAGTGGTCCCCTGGAGTTTTGTCACTGGTGTTACCGTTTAACAAAAATCATTTATTTTGAAATAAAAATCACACTGATGACATCACTTGACTTCCTTCCTCCCATTTCCTGAAGATCTATGAAAAAAGGCCCATGTGAAGTCCACTGTCTCTTTCAGTTATCAGAAATGTTCTAATTTATCTCCTGATTTCATATGAAGCTTTTAGTGGAAGTCACTGGTATGACCTACTTTATTGTTAGGGAATTGGAAAAAACTAGAATAAAAATAGATTAAACAACTCAATTTAGTGAGTATACCATGATTGACAACATGTGGTTTGATACCTTGCAGCAGACATTTTGTAAAATGCATTTTTCATGAAAATTGTCACTGGTGTTACTGTCACTGGTGTTACCTTCCTAATGGGTAACACCAGTAAAGATCAGTTTACATTGATGCTCTTTTACTAACTGCTTTCACTAATTGCCAAATGTATGCCAAATGTAACAATGTAGTCTTAACTACTTAATTATAGTTGGTGAATAAAGATATTTGGTCTTATGTATATGTCACTGGTGTTTCATATTGTGTCACTGGTGTTACTTTTTTTCTGTCACATTAAATAAAATGCATCACATGTGACATGATCATAATTTTACATCCATTGAATTCTGCTTCACTCAAGAGTTAAGATATAAAGGATTGCATCATTACTTGTTTATAACAGTTTTTACAAATATTTTGATTGTTATAGCAAATACATGGTTGCGTAAATGAACTAACATCATTCAATCACACTTTTAACAAACCTGATTAAAATAAATAAAACATAATCTCCTTATTTTTTTGCAGTATCATTATTTTTCTGTAACTCTGACTACATGTACTAAAAGAACTGAGAAATAATATTTCATAAAAACCTTTAAAATTGCCAAAGAATTAAGGTAACACCAGTGACAAAAAAAATGGTACACGTGGTCTTTAAATAAATGCACAAAAAAGATTAAAAAATCATTAAGCTGTCATTTATGTGTATTCATAAAGTCAAAAGATGATATAATAATGTGGTCGAAGTTTAAATGTTAAAAAAAGAAATACATTTTAAGACATCTTGCCATACCAAAAGTGGACGTTTCTGTAGAATGACCCAGAGCATGCACTATTACGTTGTTCTGCTTATGATAATGAAAGAGCATTTCTGTTGGAAGAATTAAAAGAAATAGGGATAGAAAATATGACACTTAAAACTTTGTTGAATAATGGCTTGAATCATTATAAAATATATAATGCTTTAATGACATTCTTTAAAAAAGTAGATCTGCTTAACAGGATTTAGAAGAATTTAAAAAATAAATAAAAAATTCTTCTATTATTATTATATAATTTTATTATTATTATTATAATTTTATTTTTTTATTATTATTATTTGTTTAGTTAAAGCGATTGGGATAGTTTTATTACCAGTGGGTTGGTTTTATTATGCAGACCTGGCAGCCCGAGGGACACTGGGTTGTGACTGAGGCCAAGATGGACGGAAGTGGAGTAGAGTCATGAAGTGATCTGGATTTGGAGGATTTGGAGGATGTAGATGGCGGGGGAAATGAAAGAAACAAAAGTAGTAAGTGGACTTTAGTAGAAAAGCGGAAAAGAAGGAAAGATTGGAGCCAAACATCAGGAACAGAAAGTGAGAGAGAATGTCATCAGATGAGAACAAGAAAGGAGGAGTTTAAGGTATTGGTGAAGTTTATGTCGGAAGAAGCAAGTAGTTTGAATCCCTTGAAATTGACTAAGTCACTGAAGGAAATGGTAGGAAATATTGAAAGTGCTAAGATGTTGCGAGATGGAAAAATTATCATTTTCTGCAAAGACAGTAAACAACAAAAGGCTGCTCTAGGGATTAAGACTATTTTAGGGCAAAAGGTTACTAGTCAAGTTATGGGAGAAAATAAATGGATGAGAGGAGTTATTACTGGAATACCAACGAATGTATCAGTAGATACGATTAAGAAAAGCATCTCAGGAGCAAAAGTGATAGATGCGAGGAGACTGAAATATACCCGAGACAAAGAGAGGATGGACAGTCTTTCTGTAATGGTGCATTTTGATGAAGAAAAATTGCCGGAAAGAGTGTTTTTAGGATTTATGAGCTATGTAGTTCGACTTTACATTCCACCCCCGCTAAGGTGTTTTAAGTGTCAAAAATATGGACATGTGGCTACAGTATGGAGAGGGAAGCAACGCTGTGCTAAATGTGGGGGGGATCATGAATACAGAAAGTGTCAATGACATTTCAGTTATGAATATATTTCAGAATGCACAGAGACATCTAAGGGTTTATGATTTTCTTCTAAAATATCTGAGAGATACAGATTTGATTAGAAGAATTTAGGTTTTTTTTATTATACATTTTTTTTTTATTATGTTATTAGTATATAATATGTTCGTTCATCGAGGCCTCACACTCCATCCCAGTAGGTGGCGGAAATGCACCTTAAGCTGGTTTGCCAACCGCCATTAAACACAAAAGAAGAAGAAGAAGAATCACAGAAAGCGCTGATTGGTCGTTTACAGACGCGTATTGATGAGGTTGCATGAACGCAAACTGTACACGCCTGGTTCCTGCGTGTTCAGTGTTTGTGAAACATTAAGCGCATTTAAGGTTTATCAGGTCTATCTGAACTGAAACACAATGAGTAAAAAGGGTAATGTATCATGGGTGAAGCCAGCCGAGCCATCTTTTTTGAAGAAATTCAAGAACGACGTTGGTTTTAAAGAAGGGCCTACGGTGGAGACTAAAGTACGTGTTTTTAGTTCCATTCATTGATCATGCCTCAAACACATGAGAGGCCAACGTAAAAATAGTGCAACCTGAATGCATGTCTCCAAAATGTTGTCTGTGTACGCAGCTCACTAGGTTTTCAGACACAACAATTATCGCATGTATTTGTAGTGTAGGAAATGAAATGGTAAGTAAATGTTGCTGTTGCAGAAGCAGCAGACGCCGCAGGTTGATGATGACAGTGCTGACAGTGATCGGGAGGACGAGATGCCGCAGGTCGTGGTTTTAAAAAAGGGAGATTTGAGTGCCGAAGACGTTATGAAAATCAAAAAAGATACAGAGGACTCGAACAAAGGTAATGCACAGTAGATGCGTTGTTCACAAGGATAACAAAAATAGTGATTAAACCAAACCTTTAATGCATTTCTGAGTAAATTCTTATCGACCCATATGTGACGGTGGACCAAAATACTCAAAATGCAGTAATTATCTCAATAGAGCAGGGGTGCCCAACCCTGCTCCTGGCGATCGACTGTCCTGCAAAGTTTAGCTCCAACTCTAATCAAACACACCTGCCTTTCATTTTTAAGTGATCCTGAATACCCTAATTAGTTGCTTCAGGTGTGTTTGATTAGGGTTGGAGCTGAACTTTGCAGGAGAGTCGATCGCCAGGAGCAGGGTTGGGCACCCCTGCAATAGAGGAATAATAAAGGTGAACATTTAACATTCCATGAATAAAACACAATATTTATTATTTTAAACATTTCATAATGTATTATTAGTACTTTCATGAATATATTATAAATATTGGTACAGTATTCGCATTAAAATGTTATTCATATTAAAAGTAAAAAAATTATTATTTTTTTTTTTAAGATTTATTTTTGGCGTTTTATGCCTTTTTATTTAGATAGGACAGTAGGTCGACAGGAAGCGAAGTGGGTGAGAGGGAGGGAGAGAGAGGGATCAGGAGGAAAGGTCCACGAGCGGGAACTCGGGACGCCCAAAGCTTTCATTTTTAATGACAAAATATTTAGGTATTTAAGCTAAACATGTATTTACTTAATCTTTATGTATGCAATATTTAATGAAGTATATTAAATATTCATTTAATTAATTTACTTAAATTATTTTGGTCCTCCACGATCCTCTCTGAGTTGGTGACTTGCTCAGATTGAATGTGGTTGATGAGGGGCTTGCTTGGTACAGTACCTGTGTAGCAGTGAAAATTATGCAAGCTTTCTGATCTTTTTGTATTTAAATTGCTACGTGGCTGTTCTTAAAATGTATGAAATAAGAGTATGTTCTTATTGTGTAGTATAGACTACACTGACAGTTTGAACTAGTGTTGTATATCCCTATTTCTATATTATAATTATGTATAATATATAATATTTGACTTCTGAATATATCTGACTTCTTTAAAGTAAATGCTTTCTTTTTCTCCAGATGAACAGCCTCCACCGGATGGAAAGATCGTCTTTAAGAAGCCTGTCAAACGCTCCTCTGATAAACTCGAAGGCATTACTGCCAGCTCTAGCAAGAAGAAGAGAAGTGAGGATGGTGAGAAGAAAGAGTCAAAAGCTGGTGTGAAGGTGAAGAACAACAGCCTGCTGTCTTTTGGTGATGATGATGATGATGATGAGGAAGACTAGTTTGGCAGGGAGACAAGCATCTCTTTGAGTCAGGTTGTCTCTTGGACTGGTTCTTGCAAAGACCAATCTGCTGTTTTAAAAATATATTTGTGTGTGTAAAATAGATGTTTGTGAGAATGGTCAAACTCATGCAGTTTATTTGTTATGATATTATTTTGTAAAACACGTGAGTCATTATGAGCCTCTGGAGCATTCCTAATAGCAGGTAGGAAGTAACGATATGAGATGTCTTTTGCAATATCATAATTGTCATTAATGACACTTTTTAAAGACGATGATAAATGTATGGACAACAAGAGAAACAAAAACACCTGGGTCAATCAGAAATGCAAATATGATAGAATACGGAACATTTTATTTCAAAGAGGTTCTTAAGGGTTTCATAGAAATGAAACTGTCCTGTTGGGAGATTTCAAACAGGATGTTCATATATGGCTCCCTCTGGAGCATTCCTAATAGCAGGTAGGAAGTAACGATATGAGATGTCTTTTGCAATATCATAATTGTCATTAATGACACTTTTTAAAGACTGATGATAAATGTATGGACAACAAGAGAAACAAAAACACCTGGGTCAATCAGAAATGCAAATATGATAGAATACGGAACATTTTATTTCAAAGAGGTTCTTAAGGGTTTCATAGAAATGAAACTGTCCTGTTGGGAGATTTCAAACAGGATGTTCATATATGGCTTCTATAAAGGAGCTGTGCAGTTTCCCTTTTTTATGGTTGTTTTAGGTTTTGACACTCAAATTCCCTGATTCTGGGACTTTTGGAGTTGTATTTTATTATACATGGTCACATTTTGAGGAAAGTAAACAACTTGCATTCTGTAATAAAATGTTTGTAACCATCATTTATCTTGTGCTGCAACTGATCAATTCTAAAAAAGTGTTTTCAATATAAATCATGTGTTTTTATTCAGGAAGGAATGTCATTAAAAATTTAAATAGGGTACTTTATCAGCATTATCAGTTTGAGTAAAATTACACTTTAAGAAGGAAGGACTAAATACAACCAACATTAATTGGCACGTAGAAATACATTGATATGAACATATAACTTCCTTTATATGTTGTAGTTCTCAACCTTTTTGATTTAAAAGCTGCCCCACTATCCAAAATATATTTGAAGGACCCTATATAATAACAGAACTGTATATAATATATATTATAGTAAATATATATATTGGAAACTGGGAGTGGTGCTATAGGTACATTAACTGACCACAATTTATTCCGTCATCCCATAAGTTTCAAGAACCACTGTTTTAATGGAGTTTTCAGTTCATCTGCATTTCTTGTGTGCTACACCTAACATGGTGTTATGCATGCATATAACATCTTATGCTACATTAAGATCTTAAAATGTTGCCGTTACAATGTTGCTTCATATTTAATCCAATATAAATACATTAATGGAACAAACATTTAGCACAGATTCTTTTATTGGTTATTTTCAAAAGTAGCATTTGTTTCAACGTTCAGCCTTGATGACACTTGTTACAACATACAACTTGCAAAAATGATCACATTCTCAGAGGAGAAAAAACAGGACGGGTTCATCAACATGGACACATATATAGTTAATCCACTGGAGTGTTAGACTCCGTACACGGCAACATTTCCACAGCTGAATACTTGTAGTATGGATTTAACTCGTACATAAAAACTGAAAAGAATAAAAACAACACCGGAATAATGTGTCACATCTATAAGCACAGTATAGTGCTAAAAAAGAAGGCCATTATGGATCCAAACACTAGCTGCTCCCGTAACACTCTCCCTCATGTGAACACTACAGATCTTACTAAATCATTCCTTCGTTCTTTGCTTAGTACAACTAAAGATTACATTAGTATTTTAATGCCAATCTTCATAGAAATGTGAATTATTAAAACAGGAACCGTAGATGTGGTAGTTGATCAGCTTTTCAGGATGCTAAAACAGTTACTACATAGGTTATCAATAAATGGGGGTTTCTAAGAGGATTTCAATGCACTGTTGAAGCTTAGATATGTAACATTGTATTGTTTTTAATGTGTGATAAGACGTAGTCAACTATGTCATTCTATAACAAGTTTTCATGTTCCCACTGTCTTGAAAGCACTTAGTCTTAAAAGGGGGTTGCTGGGAAATTGAGATAGCAGATTTGAGCCCCCTTTATAGAATATATTGTCCTTTAAAACAAAACAAAATCTCCCCTCAAAACAAAAACAACCTCAAACCCATAGCGAGTCCATTCAAGTATTCACTGACCTGTGAGGAGTTAAAAGGCATCTTCACAGAAATCTAGTTTTACTTCATCTAACGTGTGCCAAAATGTTCAGTGTAAATGGCGGTTTCATTATTTATTAATCAGAAACTAAGCAATTTGAATTGCATACTTAGTTTTAAACCTAGCTTATGCCTGTGTCGAACAAATATGTGAAAGTATCAAAAAACTGGTATCATGCTGGTTCTACAGGATATTAAAGACTGTAACAGAGGCATTCTAGTCGTGTCGTGTTGCTCTCAATATGGACGTGTAGTGAGCCTCTATGAAGAGATCTCTATAGTAATTTATAAAGAGGCATTTCATCTCATCTGTCAGTGAGGTGATATTGTGGACCATCCACAAGAGGGCAGTCAGACAGAGAGAAAATAGTTAAAAACTCCATAACTGTTCACACAGAGTAGATAACAACAAATGGCTTTTCTGAAAAATCTCTTGGAGTTCATTGTCATGTTTGATAACAACAAAACTTGCAAGGTCAGAAACAAACCCCTGAGTTCAAGCCTAGCCATTAGTGTAGAACTGGACCTGGGACAAAAAAGAAGCTTAAGAAATAACATTGTATAAGTATATAAAGTAAACAGAAAATGAGAAATGTTAGAGGTAGGTCAACCTAACAGACCATAGGGGATGATGGTGGAGAAGGGGGACAATGTGGTACTCTCACAGGTGCTCTGGATGGCTCTGCAGGCAGGTGATCATGTCCTGAACTGGCTTGCCCTCGAAACAGATCTGATAAACAGCCGTGAACAGGGGGAACCTGGAGAATAATGTAGATTCAAGATGCCACCAATTTTGCAAACGCATATAGACAAAGAACACTGTGCCCTACAGCAAGTCATTTAGCCCCGAGGTTGCTCCAGGTGGACTGGCACTGCAGTAGAAAAGTCACTCTGAATAAAACACTGTCTGCTAAATGAAGAATGGTGCAATGAATCAAGCACTTTCCATAAATTAGTGTTCTATTGATTTTTTAAGGTAGATCCTGTGATGGCAAATAGCATTAACCAATCATTTTTATCATTTTGAAAATCTACTGAATTGAACAATTGCACATTTTTAAAATGTATTTAATTTCTGTTTAAAAAAAACATAAAAAAAAATTCTTACCAACCCCAAACTTTTGAATGGTAGTCTATCTAATACTAAAATGTGGGATTTGTGTTTTTATAACTTAAAAAAAAATATTGCACACTAATTTGTACCATATTTATGTTATAAATAATCACTACACTCCTTCAGCAAATCCAAGTTCTTTGACTAAATACGAGAGAGAGAGAGAGAGAGAGAGAGAGATCTTCACTCTGGAAATGTCTTACTTACTTAATGCATAATGACAGCCACAGGGGATAAAATTATGCATTAAAAAGAAGAATATGTATAAAACAATCACTTTTGTACGGACTTTACTGCTAGAAAATCATGCAAATCAAATCATCATAATCATGCAAATCAGGGTTACTCTTCGTGTAATCAGTGTTTACAAATCTGTAAAATAAAGTAACTGTTCATGAAAGCATTTTTTTTATTTTAGGTTTTTATTTAATAGATAAAGTGCCATAATTATTTGGAGGTGGGTGGTTTTGGGACTCAAACCTGTCACCTACATAAGCATCATGTCAGGAACATGTCAACCGACATAAAGGCTATTATAAATATACGTTTAATAATATATAATTATGACTGTGTTATTTATAACTTCTAACAACCAAAAAACGTTTACACATACTTATCCACTAGGTCCTTCTGTTTGAGGATATGATAGACCTCAGCAGAAGTCAATGGTCCCTGAAGCTTTTGTCCATTTAACATCTCCTTCTCCAGTTCCTCGATGCTCTGAAAGAAAATAAATCTGTATTGATCTTTTCTGCATCAGCAAATGTGCCTAATGCACAGTGGAAGGAATACATCAACTTTCACCGTGGACAAAGCGGAGTCCAGCCTTCAATCCATAAAACATACATTAAATGGCATCAGGCAAGTGATGAAAGGCTGAAATAAATCGGTTTTCTTTTTACCTTCCCTGTCTTGGCAAAAGCCTCTGCCACGCGCCGGTTTCGTCCTCCGTAGCAGGTGGTGATGAGGTCAGCCACGCCACAGCTCTCGAGGAATGTGGCGGAAGATACAGAATCGTCTTTGCTGAAGAGTTTGGCGAAGGCGATCATCTCCATCAATCCCAGCCGAATGACAGCTGCTTTGGTGTTGTCTCCACACTGCAGACCATCACAGAAGCCTGCGCCCACTGCAACAATGTTCTAAAACAGGGCGAAATAAGCAAGTGAGACAAAAACACAAATCCCACATTCTAGTATTAGATACGTAAATATATAATATGTAAATATAAATAATGTATATACATGTAAATATTTTCAAAATATAATGAATGTGTGTATATTATACATAAATAAACAGTACACATACATATATTATGTAAACAAATCGCGATTAATCGTTTGACATCACTAGTGTGTATATATATATATATATATATATATATAAATAGTTTTTGAAGTATAACCATAACGGACTAAGTGTATTATATTTATATTGTTATATTCAATCTTTTAACTATCAGTAGCGCACAGTATTTATGTGGTTAAAGGGGTCATATGATGCGATTTCAATTTTTCCTTTCTCTTTGAAGTGCTACAAGCTCTTGGTGCATAAAGAAGATCTGTAAACTTGCAGAGACTAAAGTCTCAAATCCAAAGAGATATTCTTTATAAAAATTAAGAGTCAACCACGCTTACCTAAAACGGCTCATTCTAACACGCTCCCACATGTCTACGTCACAATGTGGGAAGATTTGCATAACGCCGCCCAAAAGAAAGAAGGCGTAACTTTTATTCTCGCTGTAGTATTGTTGCTGCCGCCGCCATGTCGTGAAGACGCTGTGTGCTTCGTTGTGAAAGCGAAACTACTTTGTTTGGTCTTCCAAAAGAGGACGATATCCGCTTCGTCATGCCTGGAGCTGATCCGTGCTGATTGCTGAGGTAATACATCAACTTCGAGCTGCGGATCGCCGGATCGGCTTTCACCGTGGACGAAGCGGAGTCCAACCCGGGGTCGTCACATGTGGTTGCTGCAAGCCCTCCGGCCGCGCCGTTGAACGTTCTCAAGCCCGCCCGCCTCCGCTCACTCAAGGCCGCCGTGTGTGACGCTGTGATTCGTTGTGAAAGCGAAACTACTTTGTTTGGTCTTCCAAAAGAGGACACGACTAGAAATCAGTGGTTAAGTTGTATTTACAACACTGTTCCAGAACAGTTCAACCCAAATATTCAGATGTGTGCAGTGCATTTTTTGGAGGACTGTTTCCTGATCCTGGTAGAGTAGACTACAATGCCGGCTGTTCTGATGCACAGACTGCAAGTATGTTTTTTTATATTTTAAGGATTTGCCACTAATGATTCAAACGCGAGTTTTGAGCAGTGTAGAGTAGCGTTTGTAGTTTGTCATTTCTCCGATCACAAATGCAGACATGGTTTTATGCTTACGTGGCACGATGCAATGCGTAAAAAGACAGTATAAGTCATTATAATCCGAAATTGTGTCACCACTGGATGCAACAAATGCCTCATTTATAATGGGTTTGAATGTTTTTGTCTCGTCGCTCCAGCCGGACAGGGCATCACAGTATGGTAGGGGCGTAACATTTCCGTCACACTCTTGAGGTATTCGGCCAATCACAACGCACTGGATAGCTGGCCAATCAGAGCACACCTCGCTTTTCAGACCGATGAGCTTTGTAGAAATTGATGCGTTTCAGAAAGGCGGGGCATAGAGGAGAAACAATAATGTACAGTATGTGGAAAATAATGTGTTTTTAACCTTAAACCGCATAAACACATTTCATTACACCAAATACACAAAATAATGTTATTTTTAGCAACATCATATGACCACTTTAAAGTCAATCTCAGAACTCATATGTTGGCAACAAATAACCAACAGTTCATAACATTTTAAGATTTAAACAACAGCTAATGCACAACTCCACATGTGCAGCAGAGAGGAAGATTATAAGTGAATAATAACTTAAATTTGGGTCTATTTATCAAACTAAGCTATCATACGGCTTCAGAAGACTCATATAGACTACTTTGCCTATTGTAATGGGGCTTTTCAGTCTTTTTGGAGGTCGACAGCCCAAATTCACATTCATTATATGAGGGAAAAATAATGGTCAGTTCATTCTTTATTCAACATTTCTCCTTTTGTATTACACATGGGCTTGGAACAACATCAGTTTTGAATGAAAATTCATCATTTACTCACTTTCATGTTGTTTCAAACCTGTATGACTTTTTCTTTTTTCTACGGAAAACAAAAGATGAAGTTTCGAAGGTTTTGGTTACCATTGACTTCTATTGTATGGAAAAAAAACTCAAAGTTCCTCTTTTGTGTTCCAAAGAGGAAAGAAAGCCATACAGATTTAGAACGACATGAGGGTGAATGAATGAAGACAGAATTTTCAGTTTCAGATGAACTATCCCTTTAAGTTGTAAGTAACCAAGAGTATTTGTCAAAGCTTGCCAATATTGCAATGATTTTTACAATGTGTTTACGAGGATAACAGCAGCCTTACAGCATCTAATTGTAAATTCAGCAGCGCAAGCTCTTCTTTACACAGAGGTCTGAGTCGTGCCCCTGAAGCCCTGCATCTCAGGTGCCTGTATCAAGATAGTTCCCCTGTGATGAGCAACAAGACAAGACTGATATTTACCTTAAGGGCTCCACAGAGCTCTACTGTGTCAGCATCATCCACCACAGTGATTCTGAAGTTAGGTGTCTGCAGGAGCTCTTTAAACAAGAGGCCGTTCTCCAACACCTTGCTGCCTGTGGATCGAAGAAAATGTCTGTTGAGTTAGCTCCTGGTGATTTTTAGCATGTATTGCTAAAGTGCAATGCTACCTACAGAATAGCTCCAAACATTTTTCACTCACCAATGGTGCTCTCGCAGAACTTCTCGGCCGCCACTTCATTGGCAATGTTGGCCCCCATTAGGACGCTGATATCAATGCCCATTTTTTCCCGAATGATATCAGAGATGAGCTTCAATCCTTCTGGTCCTTCATCAATGCCCTACAAAGAAAAGAAAAAAAGGACACACCAATGCTTTTTTAATGTAGCATCACACTATTTCCCCCTCAGCAGATATAACTCTGGAGCACAGCTGTTTGGACCATCTTTGCCTAATGACTCAAAAAATGAGGAGGAACAGTAAAGCAGAACAAAAATAATAAAGAAGGTGAAATGAGTACACAAGAAATGGGTAGAAATCTGAAAAAAGACAACAGACAAACTATATCTTTTAAAATAAACATGCAAGACTGTGAGAAACTAGGCTACTTTTCAAATAATGAAGTGGAAAGGATAAATCAAATTTGGAGAGGTATAACTGCAGAGATGAAATGATGGGCGGCACAGCCAGTAACAGAGGAGACAAACTGGCACCAGGAGATAAGTTGCACACAAAGAGATTGCCAGCAGGCCAGAGGGCCTTTTTTTTACCCATGAGTCACTCCACATATGGTGCTCTTTTAAAAAGATATCAAGTCAGAGACTTCTCAGCATTGTTCAGTCCTGAACATCCTGTCCGACCGCATAGAAGAGGACGCACAAGGTTTGACCAAAACTTAGAATATTAAATCAAAAACAGCCGTGGGCAGCATTTGGCTTGCTTATAGCTGAATATAATACAGAACTATTATTAAATTAATTAGAAAAATACTTAATTTGTAATAGATGGACATTTTGTTCCATTTTGTTTCGTCTGCCATAAAAAAAAAAAATTTTCTGGCATTCACTATCAACTCAAAATGGGAATAAATTATTGTCTGTTTGTACGGTCTCTCATTAGTCCATTATGAAAATGCATTTTATTTCACAAAGAGCAAACATTATGAGAAGAATCATCATGCTCATTTCTGGAGCATAAGGCACTTCAGTTTTTTAAGTTGATTTCGAGTGCAACTTTCAAAAAATTAAATAAATAAATAAACTGTATCTCTGTAGTAAACTTTCACTACTATTACACTACTTATTAAAAGTAAAATTAATGATAATAATACTGAAGGGGGAAAAGTGTCTATACCACATTTTAAACAAACACGTTTTCCCCTGTCATAACATAACATTTTAAAAATAAAATGTATTTGATAAAGCAATATAAACATTTTTTAGACAAATTACCCGTCTAAATTTGGTCAAGCTGCACCTTGCACAAATCATATGCTCTTAAGTCAAACATCACCATTCACCCATTCTTTTGTGTGGTTTAAGTGCATGACAGCCCTAATTGACACCCATTATCAAGTTAAAAATTAGGTTACCATATAGGCTCCAAAGGTGCTGTCAAACCTGCATCAGGTTACAGTCAAACAACGACATAACCTTAAATCTTCAATAAAGCTTTGTAAAGCCCATCAAAAAGCCCTGCAATTTCAATTATACACAATGCACAACATTCTTACTTTGATTAATGTAATTCCACGAGCCTTCTCCGAAACACATCCCACCATCTCATCGCACAGTTTCCGGATGAACTGGTGAGGGACCACGAAAACCAGGAGGTCGGCACCCTCTGCGGCATCCCGAAGCTGTGGCACTGCAACCTACAGGAAAAAGTTAAAACCCCATAAATCTGATGCTTATTTCAACACCAGAACAAGTTTGAATAAGACTTGGTTTCAAATGATGGTCAACAGATAGCAAGCATGCAAATCAGATAGACTAATATAAATTTTAAGTGCAATATTTAACCAATCCATTTTTTTGTTAATACATATATATATATATATTTTTACACAAATAAAAAAATCTAATTAAAAATGTATATATAGTATTTACCTTTCTTTATAAAACATATAATTATTTATTATCCATAACTATTATTATTTACCAAATTTTAGGGCACCCAACACACCGTCTTACCACATTCTTTGGGAGTTTGTAGCCTGGGAGGTACTTGACATTCTCGTGTTCTGTGTTGATGATCTCAGAGAGCTTTTTGTCGTTGACCATTTCTTCATAAACCCACATCTTGACTGCGGTGGCAAAGTGCTGGAGTTTCTGTGCATTGGTTCCAATAATTCTTGCAATTGCAGAGCCCCTTGGTACAGAAAAACACAACAGTACCTTTAATCAAAATGCCAGTCTGCTGTTAAAAAGCAGTTCATTCAGACATTCCAAGCAGGGTTTACAACTCCAAGAAGCTGCTTTGCCTTGCCACCTGCAGTCAAATGAGGGTTATACAGCATGCAGATCTTCAAATCAATGCAGTTAAATTATTAATCACTTGATTTTGCCCAGAATAATAATGCTTAAAATATGGATCTGAATATCAGCTTGCTGTAACTGCTGTTTCGTACAGGGAATTAAACTTGTGCTCCAGTCTAAGTAAGCACTTTCTGAGCTATAACAGTTGGTCCACGCCATATGTTCTGTATATTAATCTCATTACCAATCACATATTGATCATATATAATCATTACACGTTCATACTCACCAGTTTCCTGAACCAACAATACATACTTTCAGCGGAGCAGCCATAACCACTTTTGCTTTCCACTAGTGGATAAATGTTTTCAAGTAAACAATATACGTAATAATAATATAAAGTCAGGCAGTTACTCGGTGTGAGGGACCGTGTTGGTCCACTTTTGACTGCGTCATCAACGATAGCTGGGAATTCTGGGAGTTGTAGTTTCTCCCCAGTTTCTACAGGTTACTTTTCGCTGTCTAAAATAGTCGCTGTAAAAAACCGTGACACAGACTGGCGAATTATTTAATTCAGTTTATGTGTATAGGTCTGGAACTAATTATTCACTCTGCTTATATCGTAGAATAAAGCTTATAACTGAATACATTGTGAACAGTATTCCTACGTAATAGCTCATTACATTAATATCTATTATATTAATGAATACTCATAGTTTTAAAGAAATACTGTATTGAGGACAAAATCTACATAATGTTGTGCATAATGGTTTTTCTTTCTCCCCCCGCCCCCCTTCAGTTTTTGCCACTGCCACAAAAATGCCTTTTATGTTTACCTTTATTTATTTACCTTTACATAAGACCCACAGTTTTAATCATAAACTATTACAAAAAAAAAAAAAAAAGAATTGTTCCATGTTTAAAAATTCGACAATATATAAAAAACACGTTATTAAAAATATAGTTTTAATGTGTGGAAAGGATTTGTTTCCCCTCAAACAATTACGACTGTCACGGTAGTGTAATTTCCTTCTCAAAGGACACATAACAACATCATACAGAAAATATCATATGAAGACTAAAATAATAATAAAAAATAATAAAGAGGCAACCATAAGTTAATATCTGTAAATTGTCACATTCATTCATTTTTGTATTTTTGTATTTTGTTTATTTATTTATTTTTATTATTTTATTTCATTTATTTAATGTTATTATTTCAATGTATTTTTAAATAATATATTTCTGGTTTATTATTATTAATACTGTTTTTCCGTACGTATGATAATGAGGGGGCGTGGTTTTACATTCAGCCATCGTATTCACATTCACGAGCGCCTTTCTGATGTAGCCTATAAGCTGCCAGCATTCCTGTCTGTGGAGCGCGGGAGGGGACTCAGGGGAGTGACCACACTATGATTCCAATGGAAACACGGAGAAGCCCATTAAAGAGTCCAAGGCAAGCCAGCAAGATAAAAATGAAAGTAATCTTCAGTCACCTCCTCTCCATACGATGATCATTTTCAGCAGTATCTTTGCTTTGCTTTTGAAACTGTGCTTTGGATTTTGAACCGTCACATTGTATTAACCAGAGTTTTGAATAATCATGGAAAAAACATTGAACGTGTCGCATTCAGGGAGCAGGAAAGGAAAGTGGTCCTTGGATCTGGGGAATCCCGCACACAGACAGGCAAGAAGCGGCTCGTGTAGTCCGGGAACAGGGGCTGTCTCGGACACTCACCCGTCTCAGACCCAAAAACGACACTTGGAAGGGGTTTTGAACAAATACACCAATTTACTACAAGGCTGGCAGAACAGGTAAAGAGTTTTTGGCGCTTGCTCACACTTCACAACTTTTACACCCACACACAGGCTCCCGAATGTTTTTCATAGTAGACTTATAGTCCAATATATGATGAAGATTTTTCATGCTGGGCATTTCTGATCATTTCGTTCCTTCAAGAATGAAGACGCGTCTTCTTCCAGCAATGCTCAGAACGCTGTTTTTTTGTGCATTATGAATATTATACATGAATGAAGTCATGTTTCATTGTTTACATTTGTTTGGTTTCTCCTCCGTTGATGCTGAACATCTGTACAGCTTTATCCACCTGCCTAAAGATGTGTTTGATTACGTTTTTGTCAGAGATAGCAATATAAAAGAATACAATTAACATATTTCGATTCATTATGACGTCATGCATAAAAATAATAATTGGTTCATATATAAATAATATCAATAAAAATAAAACAAACAGATATACACACACACACACACACATTGTCATTGTTAAAAAAGAAAACAAATGTTATGCTTGTCTTCATGATAATTGTAAAGGTTTTTGATGTGCACATCACACCTCTTAGTTTGCGTACCTGTTATCTAAGTTCTGGTGTTATGTAATATTCTCTTATGATTTGATTCATCCTACAGGCTCACTGCAGATTTGTATTGCATAGTATAATTACATTAGTATGCTGATTATTTCTCTACATACATAATAACACAAAATCTAGTCTGAGATAATTAAGATGATCTCCTGCATCCTAAAAAACAGACATTAGTGTTCTGAAAGGTCATTATTTAATGATCTGTTTTAAAGGACCTTCCCATAATGAAAGGGTCTATTATAGTCAGGAATCTAAATGTGAAATGAGCTCTTTACCAGCTGAGCTATGCAGAAACACTCCAAAGCAAGAGCCTCTCATTGAAAACGGGAGTTTTTTTGTCGGATTTCATGGTTGTGTGTGCTGCAGGGTTGAGTGCAGCACAGCCCACATTGAAGGCTCTTTCATCTGGGAGAGACTATGACTCATCCGTGATGGGAAATCCCTCACATCCATAATGTTGTGCTCATTCTGTTGCTTAGTCCAGCGATCGATGAGGGAACAGGCCAAGCATATAACGAGCATCAGGACCGGAGGGTTACCCGCCCTCCGCAATGGCTCAGAAATAGCCCTCACGTTAACCTCAGCACTAGTCACTGTTTAGTGCTTAATGATTTGTGGGTGTGTGTTTGAGAGAGAGGTTTTCACAATTCACACCACTCAATACTTTGACCTGATGAGAATTGGGCCTTGGAGAGGAAAACTAACTGAATAGTACTGCTAATGTCCAAATTTCATTAATTCACACCTGAACAGACACGCATGTGAACAAGTTAGCACAGTTAGAGTTTGATCATGTCGCGTAATATTCCAGCGTATTCTTGAAGTACCATGCATTTTTGAATAATATGTAAATAAAATATAATTTTTTTTTTTTTACAGTTTTACCCACTGTGCCATGGTACCAGAATATATTCAATCTGACCACAAGTAAGATATTATGTCCCCTCAAACTTAAAAAAATAAAAATAAAAAATAATAAAAAAATACATATTTTTGTATTGTATTTTTTAAAGGGTGAGGGGGATGTACCACAATGTATTTTTTGTGGTGAATCACTGGATGATGAGGTTATGTAAACAAATGTCACCAAAGGTCCACAGTGATCATCTGTCCTCTGCCATCAAAAGCAATGCATTGGTTGCCGCTTTGATCTTCATACTTTTAGCTGCTTTTTAAAATAATGATGTGTCTTTGTCTAGCTTTCAGAGACCCCATCAAAGAGACCGTGCAAGAGAAATTGGCAGCACATCCATTTTTTACTAAGAGAGGGTGGCTGTTGTGTTACAGCACCCAAACCGCGTGATTACAATCCATTCCCTGCAGAGTTACGATCCCGTATAAAGCTACTCTCTGGTTGGCTCTGACAGGGGGAAACTAGACATGGCAAGTAATGCATCACGAATAATGAGGAAGGAAAGGAGAGAGAGTAATAATGGCCACCGTAAAACTCTCATATGAATTTTGTTATAGGCCAGTTGTACTAGCAAGCATCACTGTTACTATTGCTAATACTTTTTAAGGTAGTAAATGTTGGTACATACTGTAACGCGCACGTTTCTGTTACTGACATAAATAATACCTTAAATCAGGCAGAATTTTGAGGAGAGGTGTTCTGCTACTTTTCTAAGTGATCAGAGTTTGTATCTCACCTGGCATATAATAAAACGTCTGGACAGAATCTACAGAATTCATAGCTACACTCTGGCAACCAACAAGAACATGGTAGGAACCCCATATCAACACCGTAAAACCACCCAGAACGCTTTAGCAACTGCATAACAACACCCTGGCAACCAACAAGGACACCCTAGGAACCCCATAGCAATGCAATAAAACCGCTCAGAAGTGAGAACACTATAGGAAACAGATAGCAATGCTCTGGGAACCAACAAACACCTTAGCAACCACATAGCAATGCAATTAAATCACTCAGAGCACTATAGAAACGTCGTAGCATTCCCTAGAAACCAACAAGAACACTGTAGCAACCACATAGCTATGCAGTTAGGGCTGAAATGTTTAGTCGACATTATCAACAAAAAATTGTCGACAAATATTTTTTGTTGTCGAATAGTCGTTTGATCTCATATGACCTAATGTAAGGGCCTGCAATAACGTGGTTTGACCAGTGTGGCGCTGTAGCACACGACTGTAATTCAGCCCTCCCTCGAATAATCCAACAGAAGTGAAAATATTTCGGATGGTGTTGAATATGTAGAACTCAATATTTTTACTAATTGCAAAAGCTGAATAATTGATCAAAACCTACTGATTAATCAATGAAATAATCTAAGATTAGTTGATTAATCATTCTAATAATCGTTAGATTAATCGATTTATCAAAATAATCTTTTGTTGCAGCCCTAAATCCAGTAAAGCCATTAAAAGCATTTTAAGAACCACATAGCAACACACTAGCAACCAACAAGAACACAATAGCAACCACATAGCAATGCAGTAATAAAACCACTCTGAATACTTTAGCAACTGCATAGTAGTGCCCTGGCAACCAACAGGAACACCTAGCAACCTCATAGCAATTCAGAGCAACCACTCAGAACACGTCAGGCATCACACGCTGTCAAAATCTAGGTTAGTTGTAATGTAACCACCTTCTCCTCTCTGTTTTTCATCATGCAGGTACTTTGTGTTGGACCCTGAGCTCGGCCAGCTTCAGTATTTCATCAACGAGCTCAGTAAGAACCAGAAGCCACGAGGGTCCTTGCCCCTCATCGGCTCCTCGGTGGCCCCAAGCGACGAGTTTCCCTATATGTTCACAGTCTGTGCTGCAAATGGAGATTTCTTCAAACTGCGGGGTGAGCGGCCTACTCTCGTCGGGGTTTTAATTCTTTGCTTTTGCTTATGACATGGCCATTTGTGTCCGATTTGATCCCTTCGATCTCCGTTCTCCTTTAACTTGGGTTTCTTTACTCTGTCTTGCACAACGTCTCTTAAGAAAGTATCTCTTTGATATGTGTTGTCCCCTCAGGCATCCCCCTTCATCTGTGATTTAGTTGTCCATGTTCACCCTTTTTTTCCAGCCAGCTACTCCCTCGTCAGATTAGATCTCTATACTTTCCCCTATCTCTGTTT